TCCCACCTCCACCTATCGACTTCTGGCCTCCCATCGCCCCCCCCATTCCCCACCAGCTCAGCTCCCCGACCCCCAGCCTCCAGCATCCGACTTTCCACTTCCACCTCCACCTATCGACCTCCAACGTCCACCAGCTCAGCACTCCGACCTCCAGCCTCCAGCATCCGACTTCGCCCAGCATCCGACTTCCATTTCCACCTCTACCTTCCGACCACCAACCTCCAACTCAGCGCTCCGACCTCGAACATCTGACCTCTGACTCTGCAGTCCTACGTCCGCTCTTCGACCTCCAGCCTCCACCAGCTCAGCACTCCCACCTCCAGCCTCCAGCATCCGACTTTCGCCTCCACCTCCACCTATCGACCTCCAGCGTCCACCAGCTCAGCACACCGACCTCTAGCCTCCAGCATCCGACTTTCACCTCCACCTCCACCTATCGACCTCCAGCGTCCACCAGCTCAGCACACCGACCTCCAAATCTCCAGCATACGAGTTTCCAGCGTCCACCGGCTCAGCACTCCGACCTCCAGCCTTCAGCATCCGATGTTCCACCTCCACCTCCACCTATCGACCTCCAGCACCCGTCTTCCCACTTCCACGTCCACCCATTGGGCTCCAGACTACACTAGATCAACATCCAGACATCCAGCCTCCAACATCCGACGCCCCACACCACCTCTATCCAGATCGACCACCAGTCCCAGGCCGACTACTGAGGGCTCCGGCCCCCCCGCGCCGCCCTCATAGGGCCGGTCCCGCTGGACCGTCATCGCGCGCTCTCTCTCTCTCTCTCTCTCTCCCCTTCTCCGTTCACGGAAGGGGGAGGGGGGCGTTCGAACTCCCCCTCCCCCCCTCCCTTCCCTCCTCCCCTAATTCTCCTCTCTCCCTCTCCTCGGACCGGCGCCGGCGTCAGCGGCGGCTGGAAGCGGCGGCGGGGACCGTCGATGAAGGCGACGACTTCTTTTTTTGGGCTGGCGCTGGCGCCTGCGGTGGCTGGCGGCGGCGGCGGGGAGCGTCGACGAGGACGATGGCGACGACGAGGAAGACGACGACGACTACGACGACGACGACGACGACGACGCTCCGCCACCGTGCCTTGGTTTTGGCTCAGAGTCCTACTGGATGCCTCTTGGGGTCTCCTCGGAGGGCTCTCGGGGGCCTCTGAAGAGCATTTGTGAAGCCTCGTGGGCGCCTCTTTGGCGTTTTTTGGGGCTGTGGTGGTGGTGGTGGTGGTGGGCTGGTGGTGGAGGTGGTGGTGGTTGTGGCGGTGGTTGTGGTGGTGGTGGTGGTGGTGTGGTGGTTGGTGATGGTGGTTGTTGTTGTGGTGGTGGTGGTTGTGGTGGCAGGTTGTGTTGGTGGTAGTGGTGGTGGTGGTGGCGGTGGTGGTGGTCGTGCTGGTGTGGTGGTTCCTGGTGATGGTGGTGGTGGTGGTCGTTGTGGTGGTGGTGGTGGGTTGTGGTGGTGGTGGCTGTGGCGGTGTGGTGGTCTGTCGTGGTGCTGATGGTGGTGGTGGTGGTGGAGGTGGTGGGTTGTGGTGGTGGCGGTGATGGCGGCGGCGGTGGTGGTTGTGGTGTGCTGGTTTGTTGTGGTGGTGGTGGTTTGGTGGTGGGTGGTGGTGTTGTTGGTGGTGGTTGCGTGGTGATGGTGGTGGTGTTGTGGTCTGTCGTGGTGGTGCTGTTGGTGGTCGTGTTTTTGGTGGTGGTGTTGATGGGTTGTGGTGGTGGCGGTGGTGCCCGGGGTGGTGGTGGTGGTGTGGTGGTGTTGTTGTGGTGGTGTGGTGTGGTGGTGGTGGTGGTGGTGGTGGTGGTGGGTGGTGGTGGTGGTAGTGGTGGGTGGTGGTGGTGGTGGTGGCTGTGTGGTGGTCTGCGGTGGTGATGGCGGTGCTTGTGGTGGTGGAGGTGGCAGGTGTGGTGGTGGTTGTGGTGTGGTGGTGTGTGGTGGTGGTGGTGGTGGTGGTGACTGGTGGTGGTGGTGGGTCGTGGTGGTGGTGGTGCTGGTGGCGGGTGGTCGTAGCGGTGGTGGTGGTGTGGTGGTTTGTGGTGGTGGTGTTGGTGGTAGTGGTAGGTTGTTCTGGTGGTGTCGTGGTTGTGGCGGTTGTGGTGGTGGTGTGGTGGTGGTGGTGGTGTAGTGGTTTGTGGTGATGGTGGTGGTTGTGGTGGGTTGTGGTGTAGTTGTGGTGGTGGTGGCGGTGGTAGTGGTTGTGGTGGTGGTGGTGGTGTGGTGGTTTGTGGTGGTGGTGGTGTGGCCTTCGGGTCTTCCTGTCACCGTGCTTTGGCTTTGGGTCAGGTGGTGGTGGTGGCTGTGTGGTGGGCTGTTGTGGTGGTGGAGGTGGCGGTGGCGGTGGCGGTGGTGGTGGTGTGGTGGTTGGTGATGGTGGTGGTTGTTGCTGTGGTGGTGGATATGGCGATTTGTGTTTCCCCTCTTCGGCCTCTTGGCCCTCTCTGGTCATCGTCGCTGCGTGGCCGCCGTCGGCGCTGCTGGCCGCCGGTAGTGCTCGGCGCTGGCGGGGGCGCTGGGGGGGGGGGGGTGAAACTCCCCCCCCCCGTGGGGGAAGGGGGGGTGTTTGGGGAGGGTGGGGGCTATAGGGGGGGGGTCCCCCTGGTTCTGATCGACGGCGCCGAGTGTTGCCCCCCCCATTCGAAACGCGCCGCCGAATGTTCCCAAGGCAAGCGCCCGTGAAACGCGCTCTCTCCACCATCAGGAGGACCCTTCCCTGGCTCCTCGCGCTGGTGGTGGTGGTGGTGACCGACTGTCAACCCTACCCCTGCAGGTCCAACCGACGCTGCAGGGGTATCGGACACCCCCTCTGCGGGTCACTTGGCTGCAGACTTCCTTTTGTGAATTCTGGTCCCCAGCCGGCTGTCCAGAGATCTGACCTGCAGGGGTCGGGTTCGCATGTGGTTGCCTCGTCAGACGTCCGGCGTCGTGATTTTGCTCAACACGTGGCTCCCCACGGGTCTAAACCCTTCCCTGAGGCCATATTGTTCTCCTGAGTCGTTTTGTCGACGGTCCTGGGCCCTGGCGAGGGCCTCATGGAGGCCGAAAGCGGTCAAAACTTGGCGGTCGTGATTGTTTCTTTCGTGACGCCCACCGATGTGATTATTTGCAATCCGCGGCCCCGGAGGTCCCAGCCGCTTCCCCATGGTCAGTATGTGCGCGGCCCGGATCCATTTTTGTTGGTCCCAGGCCCGATGACGAGCCCCATGACAGAAATGCGCAGCCATTGAAACAATCACCCGGTCCTGGAAGTTGGCAAAGACCCTCCGTCGCGGTTCTTTCACAAGGAGAGTTTGTCAAGGGTCGCCTATGTGTGTCGCCCTTCCTTTCCAGATCATCCGCGGCTGGGCATTTTCGGTAACAGATTTCGGTCGCGCCAAATTTCGGTCGCGACCAGAGGGGGTCGAATCCCGTCAACGAAGAGATCGTGCGTCGGGGTCCAATCCGGGGTTTCGAAGCGCTCGTTATTGGCCATTCGCGATCGGAGGTCGAACTTCGGTCGCGACCCGCTCGTCCAGAGCGTTGCCGGAAGTTTTCGGTAACAGATGATTTGGGCAGGGCTTTCTGGCCATGCTCCTCTTACTCCTCGAGCCGCCTCTCCACCTCTGCTGCTGTTAGGGTGCTCGCTGTGGTAAATTCGCAACTGGGAGATGTCAGTCCTGAGATCCGACGTCGCGAAACACAATGCTACATCGCGAGACATCGCGACCAGAGCCCCGGACCCCCTCTCTCTGCGCCACTTTTTCGAGTCGAATCGATTTATGATGCTTCAGGGGCCAGAAACGGGAGAAAACCGTCGGCTCGAAGAAAATGAGACGCTCGACGCGTCCTCTGTCAACACCCTGCGGGGTGGAGCAACGTTCGTGGACATGTTGCGGGGGCTCCGCGGCCTCTGTGTTGATGCTGAGCTATACCTTCAATACTTCGCTGTCCTGGGGCGTTGCTGTCTTCTTGTTCGCTAGGGGATTTGGCACGTGCGCGGAGCTAACTACATTGTCAATGCCACGGTTTCCTGTGGCTTTGCTGTGCTCCTGCTCTGAACGCACGCCGCCTGAGGCGGCGGAGAGCTTCCCAGATATCTGACCGCTCTCCAATTTTTTCGATGCGCGGGCCCTGGAGGTCTGGACCACTTCCCAGGGCCAGCTTTTCATCCTGAGTCCTTCTTTGATGGCCCCAAGGCCCGGCGAGGGCCCTGGGAAGCCGAAAACGGCCCCAAACCCGCCGCTCCAATTTTTTCGGAGCGTTGGATCTCTGGGAGAGATCCTTCATACAAATGGATCTCAGGCAGGGCGGTTCCCGCCGCCCCCGCCGGCGGAAGGCGGCGGAAGACTGGCGGAGGGCGGCGGAAGTGAGAAGCTGCTTTCCAAGAGAGAGAGAGAGAGACGACAATTTTTCATCGGGGCGATCGAAATGGGCACGGAAAGAATGAGTCCAATGCCCAACAGCAGTTCCTGTTCATTCTGGACAGGACTCGCTGTCCGCGCCGCCGCGCACGTTGTTCTCTGAAGACAGAAAGCCGCCTGCGCAACAGCGGCCGCTGTCGGTGCTGGACAGCATGTGTTGTTGGGCATTGTGCCCATTTTTTTCCGTGCCCATTTCGGGCGTCCAAATTTCAGGGGGGGGGGCTCAGGGCTACCAGAACCCGCAAGGCGGCGGAAGGCTGGCGGCAGGCTGGCGGGAGGCGGTGGACCCCTGAAGCTGCTTTCAAAGAGAGGGAGTGAGAGAGAGAGAGAGAGAGAGATGGTAACTTTTCGGGGGGGGGAGGGATGAGGAGGAGGAGGAGGGAGGAGCGGGGAGGGGATGAGGAGGAGGAGGAGGAGGAGAGGAGGAGGAGGAGGAGAGGAGGAGGAGGGGGGAGGAGGAGGAGGGGGAAGAGGAGGAGGAGGAGAGGAGGAGGAGGAGGAGGAGGAGGAGGAGGAGGAGGAGGAGGAGGAGGAGGAGGGGGGGGGCCCAGGGCTGCCAGACCCCGCCAGCTGCATCTCGGGGAGGGCCCTTCCCGCGAGGATGCCCTGGCGAGGCTGCGCCCCACGGCGCGCCCGCCCGGCCCGCCCGCGGCGGCGGAGCGCGGCGCGCGCGGCGGCGGCCCGGCGCCCGCCAGGCGCGCCGGCAAGGGCCGCGCGCGCCCCGCCGCGGAGCTGTAGGCTGCAGAGTCGGGTCGGACGAAAGCGCCGTGGGCGCGGCGCGCCGGCGGCGAGGTGCAGGTGATGAAGGTTTCGGTGATGAAGGTTTCGGTGTCGTGAGGCCTCCCAGGTTCGGAGGTTGATGGACCTCCTATAGCCCGACACGTCGACTGGCGAATTGGCCGTGTTCGGTTCGCGAGAGGGCGTCGCGGCCGTCATTTTTGCGGGTCCGGGTCCGTCGGTTTCGGTCCCTAGGCCGTTTTCACTAAAGGGTGGTTTATTCAACGGAGGTTTGTCCACCGCCGACGGATGGGGTCCGAGTAGATCGTGTCGGAGGATCGCGCCGCATCGACGATGCATCCGGCGATGCGGCTCGATGTGGAGCCCGGCTTTCTTCACGCCGACGTCGCCGATGCGTCGCCGACGTCGCCGATGCATCGCCGATGCATCGACCCCGTCTACTCGGACCCCATCCAGGAGGTCTCTAGTATTGCAGGTGGGGTTTGTCCGTAGCCAAAACAAGGTAGAAAAATATGGGTCGCGCGTTCCTACAGTTCGCCTGCCGTTTTCGCTCGGTACATTCGCGTACCTGAGATGTCGGAAAGTGTGGTTCGTGGTTTCCTACAGATTGGTCTTCGCGAGTTCGGCGTCGAAAAAGCCAGAATCTTAGTATCAACGTCACACAACTTCGCCAGTCGCGTGTCCTTGGGAAAGGGCGGCCCACTGTAGAGTCGGGTCGGGTCGGACGAAAGAGTCTGGTTGCAGGTGCCCTCAGTGGCTTAGGGGGTTAACGATCCGAGCTAAGTGGGCTCCGCCCACTTTGCGGAGTTACCTAAACCCTCTAAGCCGCTTATGGCACCTGTAGTCAGCTTACAGGCTAGGTTAGGCCAGATATAACCCACCTTCGCATCTGCTTCTAACCCCCCTTGTCCCATTCACAACCCTAGCGGTGACCCAATCAAATGTTCTTCGATTCTGGCCTGGGGGCTCGTCATCGGTCATCGGGCCCTGGGGCCATCAAAGATGGTTCCAGTGCGCAAAACTGTTCCTGCGGACGGGGTCCAGACCTGGGGCTGCGGATTGAACAGATCAGATCAATGGATGTCTGGGTCAGCCGCGCGCCCCCCTCCGCGGCGGAGCTGTAGGGCGCCAGCACGCCTTCAAAACAGGGCTCGTGCTCAGAAGAGGAAAGGTACCGATACCGCCTCCACTCCCTTGTTTTCGCCTTTTTCGGCCGCCTGGGAGGCCCTCGCTGCTGCCGCAGAATTCGTCCCGAAATTCTGGTCAAAACGCACCCTGGGGGAGTTCTGCAGAGCAGCCGTCAAAGCAGAGCTCGTGCTCCCCACTGAGATCAATACTGGGGTTGTTAAGGGGATAGGGGTGTTTGAAGCGGATGCTAAAGTGGTCTATATCTGGCCAGGCCTAGCTTGTAAGTGGGCTACAAGTGCCCTAATTGGCTTACGGTGATAAGAGAACTCTGCGCAAAAAGATCCGCACCCCCCTAAACCACGTAGGGCATGTGCATCCCACTAATAAGTTAGGTCTGGCCGGATATAACACATCTTAGCATACGCTGCTAAGCCCCCTATACCCTGAGCGCCCCCCGCGGTCGTCTCAGCAGACCCCATCGCGTTGTGAAACAAACACGCCGGACGTTTTTGTTGCCATGCTCGGTCTCTGGGTGGCCTCGCCAGGCCCCGGGACGATAACAAGACGACTCGGGATGAGAAACTGCTCCCGGGGAAGGGGCCCAGACCTTTGAGAAGCCACGCTGTGAAACAAAAACATGAGGTCGAGTCGATGTTATCGTCAGCCGCGCGTGCTCCGCCGCGGAGCTGCAGGGCGCCTGCCCCCTGTTTGGCGCAGGGCTCCCCTGAGATCCGCGGCGCAATTGTGCCATAACCGGTGGTTTTGCTCTGTTCCAGGCCCTGGGACCCTTGCGGATCGACCCCGCTCGAGAGCGGCCGCAGAACGATGGGGTCCAGGGATTTGGTCGACGTGTATCTCGATCTTGCATTTTTTCCGTGGCGTCGGGTCTCAGGGATCATCGTCAGCCACGCGCGCCCCGCCGCCGAGCTGTAGGGCGCTGGCTCCTCTTCGCGAAAAGGGGTCGGGCTCATCACCGTCGGGGCCATCCCCTGCACCACAGGGGCCCGAATGTGAAAAGTCGGCGCAAACGTTCTAAGCTTTCGGAGGTCGGCGGCCGGACGACCACGACCACTACCACTACTACAAGCTTTCGGATTTCCTGGATTGGCGCTGGACTCCCATAGCCGGAGCCTCCGGCGCTGCCCGTGGCGCGCTCTTCGCGGCAGCGGAGCCATCCAGCGCCCATCCAACAAACCCGCGCGGACCTCCGACAGTTCAGGTTTGCGCAGTTTTTGTTTGTTTCTATCGGGGAGATGGCGCCCCCAGCAACGAAAGGGGAGATGGCTCTCCCAGCAGCCCCCCTCGGTCGGGTTGGGCGCCGCGAAGCCCGAGGGGGACGGAACGTTTCCCCATCTGGGGTGGGTATGGTTTTGCTTGTGGACGTGCTGGGGACGAGGATGGGATCTGGCGTTTTCGGTCCTCGTGGGCGAAAAACATATCCGTATCTACGGCCTCCCGGGCAGGGCCCCGGTGCCGCAATCCCGCGAATACGGACCGTTTTGTCGTGGATGCCCCGCGCGGACCGCATCCTTCTTGCGCCTGTGTGCCCGCGGGATCGCGCCCCAGAGCCCAGATCGCGAGGGCGCGGACACGGACGTGCTCGCCGCTCGTGAGGCCCGCTGCCCCAGAAGGGCGGGCGGGGCCTCGGCTGGGCCCCGAGTGAGCTTTGCCAAGGGGGGGCCAGCGCGCGCCACGCGACCGACAGCTCTGGCCGACGAGGGCCGTGCGCCCTCCTCGCGCCGCCCACAGCTCAAGCTTCGGGCCTCGAGGCTCGGGGATCCGGAAGATCTTCGGATGGGCCCGTTTTCCACGACCGCCCACCATACGTTGGAGGGGGCAAGGAGGTGGGGGGGGAGCAGGACGCAGAAGGAGAGGGGGAGGAGGGCACCCTCGCCCCTCACACTTCTGGTGGTGGTGGTGGACAACGTGCCCGTCATGTTGGGCACTTCGTCGAGGGTCGGGATGCTTGCCAGCAGCTGCGGGTCGCCGAGTGCGCGCTGGGGGTGCCCAGGTCGTCCAAGACGGCCGCTCCGGAGGCCCGCAGCTGCTTCCCGAAGTCTCCTCCTCCTCCTCCTCCTCCTCCTCCTCCTCCTCCTCCTCCTCCTCCTCCTCCTCATCCGTAGCCATTTTGGCTCAAGATGATGATGCCTGCGGCGTCCTTCATGGATACCGCTAGTCCGCGGACAGACCCCCAGCTTTTGCCGCCACAACCACGGGCTTGCGGCTGCCCACAGCTCTTCCTGCTTCTCACCCTGGCATTGCAGGCTGCCATTCATATCAGCTCGTCCGAGCCCAGCTCCGAGCACTTCATATCGCCCGTCGAGCCCAGCTCCGAGCACGACATATCCGCCGTCGAGCCAAGCTCCGTGCACTACATATCCGCCGTCGTGCCTAGCTCCGAGCACATCATTCTCGTCGAGAGCGTTGCCCGCATCGAGGACAGCCAGCAGCTTCTCCGCCAACCACGCATTGGCACCGCAGCCGCCCTGGACATTGGACAGCAGTACAGCAGCCACTTCCTGGACCTGCCCAACCTATTGCAACCATGTCGTCAAGCAGTGAAGATAGATCTACGTCTCGCAGCGCACCTTCGCGCAAAAGGAAAGAACGCCGTCGTGGACGCCAAGACAAAGACCGAGATGATAAAGGTTCCCGTGCCACCGCCGCCAGGGTCACACTCGACCCCATGGGGGAAGCTGGCGTCGCCTCGCAACTCGTACGAGCTTCAGGGAGAGCATCTGCGCCGCCTTCGCGTCCTGGTCGCTCGTCAGCGCGCCCGTCTACTCCGCCGACGTTTGCGATGGATGCCGACGACCTTCCACACCACGGTGATGCTGCTCGCCACGCAGCGGCTGCCTCCGAGCAACTACGCGATGGACAATGGGATGCATCGCCCCCCCAACTACATGCAGTCGAGGCAGCCCCAGCAGCAGGAGGACACCAGCGTGCAGATCCACTGGCAGGAGCTCGTGACCCTTGGCGTGGTCAACAAGCCGCTGGAGGAGCGTCCGCCGTCGGAGCCGCCGCCGACCTTCATAGCGGAGACATACCAGCTTCCATCGCAGCCGCAGGAGGAACAGCCACGCCTGGATCGTTCCCAAGCATCCCAGGTCTGTCTCCTGATGTCGAAGCCGCTCTTCAACAAGTCATGCAGACTCAAGTCGAACACGCCGCCGCCACCTTCCAAGCCCAGGCCAACGCTCTACTCAATGAATCACGAGAAAGCTTTCGTCAAATTCTCGCACAACAAGTCATTGCTACCGAACGCCGAGTGGGTACCCTACATGATGCAGTCGCCCGCACACGCCGTGAACAAGACCGCCAAGCCGACGAGCAGAAGAATATGTGGCAGCAGATCGATCAGATGCGCGACACGCTCGCGCTCGCAGAAGCCCAGGCGCCCATCACGGACCTCACCAAGCTCGCTGACTGGGACCGCGCCCCCGACCCGACCATCTTCTCCATTGGCTGCCAGCGCCTCATCGCGCCCGACATGCTGCTCAACGACCTGCAGGAGTGGATCGCCTCTGCCAATGTGGACCGCAACGCCGTGGAGCTGCTGGGCGACGAGCCGCCCAGACGCTTCCTTCTTCAAGTCAAAGGTGATCGTGCAGCCGCAATCCCGCGAGCTCTCGCTCTTTCACGCGCCCTTCGAGATCCTGCTGGCAGGTGGAAACGCTTTGTGTCCACCGACGCGACAGGCGCCCGAGTGGGTATCTACTTCAATCCCGACAAGTCCCCCAAGCAGATCCGCACCGAGATCCAGTGTAAGAAGCTCCTGCAACTGCTCCAGCACCGCTTCCCCGACAAGCCTTGGAGGGCCATCCGCACCAAGGGCGAGATCCATTGTAACGCCATGCCCG